CTCTCAGACGCCCTCTGTGTGTTTGAATACGAACTAGAATCGTCGATAGCCCGTAGCAGAAGGCAAGGCAGCAGAAGCAGACTTCGCTGCTACAATGCATGTTGCGAAAAAACGACCTTTGTGTGTGCCTTAAGTCCATTGGCAGCTATTTACATACAATATACATGTAGACTTTCACTCACCTGAATCCATGTTGATTCAGAAAGTCCTCAACAGATCCTCGGCGACGTTTCACGCAGTAGGTTAATTTGATCAGCTAAGATGGTTGCAGGACTTGGAATTGCTTTAGATGATCTCCTGTACGGTGGACTCCTGGCTGTGGGTATTCTTTTTGGCTGGTGTTTTCGCCGTATCAAAAATCCCGTCAAGAAGAAATGGGTGTCAACAACCGTTGGAGTATTGCTAGTGTTGGCTGTGTCAGGATCACATATACTAAGACCTCTCATTGTGACGACTGTCAATGCTTTCTTCATAACTATTTTAGGGAAAAAGTAAGTATGAATTATATTACAAGAGTAAAAAACCTGTTTATTTTATTTTTTTATTTATATCTTGTAATATCGGTCATTCCTTATTCATTCAATTGTCCTCTAGGTTCAGTCACATTTTAAGCTTTATTTTTACATTTGGCTTTTTGACTTTCTTCCGTGTATCGGACTACTTTGGTGCGCCGTATGCTCCTGGACCAGTGAACCTCATTAATATGGTCTTAACCATGAGAGTAAGTTCTAAATCCTTTCTTTTCAGTATAAGTACAGTGCTCTTTAAATACAAGATTTCTGGACTTCATCATATTTTTATGTTTATTTTTAATACAATTCTTCAAGATTATGAGGTGTTGCTTACTTTTGCAGATGGTAGGACTAGCATTTGAGTCACGAGACAGTTGGCTAGCCCATAAAACTGAAAGCAAAATGGCTACATCAGGTGCAAAACTGTCTGAAATGGAGGAAAAGGAGCCATTAGATGTTCATCCAGGTTTCATGGATGTCTACCATTATGCTTTTTGCTATGTGGGAGTGCTTACAGGTAACTGTTATTGAGCAGATTTTTAACCAACATATTTTATCACACTCCAGTTTTTACATGGCCTGTTTTATTGATTTGCTGAACTCTTGTTATCAAATTCAGGTCCCTATTTCCGGTACACTACGTATAGGGATATGATAAACACACCCTTTGCCAGGTTTGCACCTTGTTGGGATGCAACAAAATCAAGACTTCTTCTCCTTCCTTTCACTGTTATTGCCTTTGTAATTGTCAATAGTCTTTATCCAAACAAGGTACTATTTACTATTCATTCAACTCAAAGTATTCACAAGGTTTTACCACTCTCTTCTTTTTCTTAAATGTTTTTATAACTTTTTCAGATGGCCCTCACCGATGAGTTTTACTCAAACCATTCTGTATTGTATCGCATTATCTTTTTAAGTATTGCATTCTTTAATTTCCGTATGCGAATCTACACTGGTGTTATGCTCTCTGAATGTGTATGCACAATGGCAGGATTGGGAGCGTACCCAGACTGGTGCAAACCTCGCTATGGAATGGGTCCTACTTGTCGTTGGCAAGAAGTTGCAAGATTGTGAGTCCTAAACTTGAACCAAAACAGTCAGTATTTAAATGAAATGTTTTTTTCCTAACAGTTTTTTGATATTTTTCTTATCCATATTTTCAGAGGGAGGAGTCCTGTTCAAGCAATAAGAGAGAAGTACAATTTTGAAACTGTGCACAGTGTTATCATTTCAAAGTGTGAATTTGAGCCTACTGTTCGTCAGGCTATGAAGAGTTGGAATATGACTATCCAATATTGGTTGGCAGCATATGTGTATAAAAGACTCCCTATAAAGTCCCTGAGGTAAATTTATTTTTTCTATCCTTTTTAATGACAGGATTATTCTTTTGTGCTTTTCTTAATTCCTTCTTTTCTCTTCTTTTTAAAAATATCTTCTTTAGGACCGTTGCAACTATGTTCATGTCAGCATTTTGGCATGGAGCTCATGCTGGATATTATTTATGCATCATGTCTGTTCCTCCTCATCTTGTGGTTGAAGATTTGTATGTAAAACTCTACATGAATAATGCAGGACCAAAGGTAAAACAGTAAGGCTGCTTACTATAAATTTTAATTTGGCTTGTCAATTCTGTTTTTAAGTATTTTAAGTAACTATTTTTGTGTTTGTAAATGTTTTCAGTTACGACGGTTTATGAATTTCATGATGTGGTTCATGCGTTTACAAGGATTTGGATATATGAGTATCACATTCCAGTTACTCACAATTGACGCAGCTTTACGCTACTGGGGCTCCATTTATTACTGTTACCATTGGGTCCTGGCAGCTCTTTACATTACTGGGCTGGTTATTCAGTTTCGTCGACCAAAGAACGTTACTCCAACAGTAACAGTTCAACATGATTTCCATGCTATTGATCCACCCAAAGTAAATAAAACTGAATGAAGAAGGGGGAATCAACTTGATCCATTGTGGCACAACTCTTCTGCGCCATCGACTCCAGTTCTGGATCCTGCACGACGAGGCGCAATAAGAAGCAGTCTGCATTCAAGTCTTCATCATCGAATTAACAGTGAATATCACATCAGAGACAGCTGGCTATAACTGGTGTTTGGAAGCTCATAAATGGACAAGAAATAATGCAGTTCCAATACTGACTAAGGAGTACATGTACATTCAATAAGCGACCTTGAACTTCAGCACTTCTACGTCTTTTTAAGAAATAGAGATCATATTGAATCAGGTGTAAAAGAATTATTTCCTTTAAAATTGGAACTTTCTTCTGTCTGACTAAGTATTCAGTGAAATTTTAAGTCTCCTTCATGTGATATTGTGGACTTTTCAGTTATCTGCATTATTTCTTGTTTAAAGGACAATTCAGAATGTCCATTGGGTATTTATTTGGTTGTCTTCCAGCATGGGTTCCTTGACCATAAATTATTTAAGCCAATTGCCGACTGAAACAAGATAACTGTACTTACAGTTAATTGCTCTTTAAAAGCCATCATAACTATGTGAAATGGATGACAAGTGAAAGGAAAGTGAAAGCTGTTTGATTTGCATGGCAATTTGTGTTAGCTCCTCCCTCAGGACCTCCATGGTTTATCTCAAGATAAAAGATTGCTACATGAATTTTTGCTTTTGAAAGGAGAAATTGTCTAAGTTAATGTTTGCATTTGCACTGAGGTCCTTGTGTGCAATAACTAATATTTACATGAGGATGGAGGGAGGTGTTGCCCAAAATTGCCAATATTGATGATGGATGCTCTAGAATCTTTGTGCCACAAAGGGTTAAGTTGTTTCCCCATAAATCATTGTTTGAATCTCAGATAAACCAAATCTGAAATGAATTTTGGTCTGTCCAAGAAGGTTATTTAAATTGTTATTCCTTAAGAAGCAATACTTTTGCCACTCAATTTGTTTATGTATATCTGTAATGATTCAAAAACAAAATGGATGACATCAGCATTTGCTTTCTGTGGTATGATCAATATTTTGAAGGTTTGGTTTATCCATTTCATAGAATCAAAATTAATTTAATTTGAGATTTGTTTATGATGCTGTATCAACAGGGTGTTCAGCAATTAGTTCATTGCCATGGGTTAGGGCGATATTTTCAGTAGGAAAACTACTACCTAGCTGTTGCAGATGGTATAAACAAGTTCAAGTTCATGTACTTGTTGTACTGGCTTAAAATGTAGATTTTTCCCTTCTCAATTCAAATTGCATTGTGGTGTGCAAACCCGTCACAACCATTTAGCTTTGTTCTTATTCTTTTACCCCTAATTTTGCACTTTGTGTAAATTTTACTGTTAGCATTTTTACAACTTTTATTACGATGCATAATGCCCTAGGTGTACTTCGGTCTGAAACAAGCCTAAAATTTTTGTAACTTTACACCCTTTTCAGTCTTGACTATAGGAAAATATTTTAAAATTTTGTGAAATTATGCTCACTAAACAATAAAGTAGCTGGACACCCTTTTTAAGATCTTTTGTAGAATATTTCGTAAAAATTCAACACTTGCTTGCAGCATTTGGCACAGTTCTTTAAGAGGTGCTTGGTAGTGGTGACAGGTTAATGCATAGTGTGATGAGGTGGTTGATTGAAGTGAGCCTTCGCCAGTCAGGAAATTTTTGAGACTATAGACTATTCACTTTGGTAACTCTGATGTGTATTACGTTTTTCTTGTTTCATAAATTCATAGCAAGACTTTGTAAAATAATCTCTTCTCCACTTTAAGGATTTGATATCTCTTGTCCTTTGGTACCATTTTTACAATTTAAACATTATTTTTTTTTAGTTTTAATATTTGCCAGTAACATTGTGGAGGAGCTCAAATTTGCCATTAATGGTGACATTTAATGAGTGTGATCGTGGGGTCTACAATCTATCTCAAAACAGGTGCAAATATTTTTGAAGTGTCTCCATCCTAGAATACACATGTTCTCTACATTTTGGGACAATGTTGTCGTGACGGTTTGTAAATATATCCTAAACTAACTTCCACTGATGGAAACTGTTAACATTTTTATTTTGTTTGTACTTTTTTAAAATATGTTATGGCTGTGGACTGTAATGAAGGTTATTAAGTCTCCTTCTCATTTTTTATTAAAATATCTAGGGAATAATGAATAATAATTGCTCAACATGTAGCTTTGCAATTGGCTTTACTGCTGGCCGTAGCTAAATGTGAAAAAGAAATCAAGTTACCCAAAATTTTTGAAACATTTTGGTCATATTTAAGTATCTGGCTGGCCATTCTACTCTAAGGCATAGTTCATTTGGTATGTGATGGAGTGTCATTGAGGCACAACAGTACTTTGCACTCTATATGATTGCAAGTGTAGTCAGAAATAACATTCCCTGCATATACATACATATTGTGATCAAGCTTAACTTTTGCCTGGAACTTTTCCAGTGTTTAAATGTTTACTAATTTGGGTTTTAGTCATTGTAAGTGGTTGCACAAAAGTGTGTGGGAACTGTCAACTGTGACAGTGAAGGTGAAGGCATCTATAGATATGTAGTTTCAGCCTTTTAACTTTTAGAAGCACTTCATATTTTGGATAACAAAGTCTTGCCTGTTTTCATCGATTTGGCTGCATTCTTTTGAACAAAGCAAGTGGTGAGAATACATAGAAATAACTGTTGGGAGCAATAATGTCTTCAACCAAAGGGGGTTGAGATGAGTGATAATTTTGTGTTGAGATGGACAATGAAATACTTTATGTTCCAGCATTTCTGCTATCAGTGTCAGTGGATATATTTCAATGAGAATGAAGAAAACTCATAGACCTGATAATTATGTGATAGGTGTCATGTAAGGATGTAGGGAAACTATCTGATACGTTATCCAATTTTGCAGATTCCTCAAAAAACTTTTTCATGAAAATCTGCACGTATTCCTTATAAGACGATTCTCATTATGCAAGTACTTTTAACCAAAAAAAATCCTTTTCTGGTGTGTTTTTTTTTAGTCAGTATTAGCAATATATGCATTTTGATGTGCCTACTTCCAAAATTTGGCAAGGGTCCTGTATATTAATAATGCTTTATAATTTTGAGTGTGTCTTGTACTGTAATAAATGTCATTAAGCAACAGATTTTGTTGTGTTGAGATAGAGGTTTTACGTCTTATTATGCACTTTTTTTTTTTTTGTTTGAATGTATGAATCACGAGATGAATCATTTGTTTTCTTGTAATTCTGTCTG